ATGTTAATGGATGAGCATGGCTATGTTCCAATAAACCATTTTACAAAAACAGGTGGCATGCCAGATTTGTCCCATGGGCTTTAATTTCCAATCCCTGATCTAGAACAATTCTGATAACTGTTGTCTTAACCCGGGTTCTGTAGAAAAGAGCCTGAGGCAAGGCTTAAGTGCTAATATTTCACCGAAAAGTGCAATCTCAGGGCTGCAATAGTAAAGGAAAAATGAAGGAAAGCAAAGAAGTAAGATGATTCATCACACTAACCACTGTTTCATGGGGACAAGTAGAAGAAACATAGCTAATCACTCAGCAGGTGTATCTGCTTGGCCTTACAGGATGACTCTTAACACTTTATGTGGAAAAACCGTGAATTAGAATAGCCCAACCACAGGGAGGAAGGGAGGGAGAATTTATTTCTTGTGTCTTGTCGAATATTGGTCAAGGTTTTCTTCATGAGAAGTTAACACCCCCTCACTTCAGAGTTGTCATTTGACCCCTCTGGCAGCTGTTAGGGAAGCAAGATCTCCTGCCTTATAGTATGGAACATTATAATTCTCAAGAATTAAAGGGAGGAGCCAGAAACTCTGGGCATAGCCAGTCAACTTCAGGAAGTAGTACTGCATGAAGCTGATTAATCCTGACAAAATGAGGTGAAGCAAGCAGCCAAGAGTTTGGGAGACAAGCAAGGCTGAGAGAATCCAAGGAGATTTACAGAATACTATGCCCAGTACAGGCATCTCTCAGTTCAAAAACACCCTCTCCTATTTGATAGACTAATGTGCAGTTTCTTTAGTAAATAGTACCAGGAGAGGGTGGTCTACTTTCCAATTCTATGATACTATCTTGTTTCAGTAGGAACCTTAATATCAGTAATTTGTTCCTTCTTTCACTTTACCAACAAGCCTCCATGGAAGCTTTTCCCTTCAAGGTTGAATTTATACCAGAAATGCAAAAATGTGTAAAATTAGAAAATCTATTATCATAGTTCAACCAAGGAACAAATTAAAGAAAAATCATTTTATAGTGTAAGCCTCTGACAGTTAACTTTTCTGATTGTAATGTAAGTTCCTGACATTAAGCTTTTGATTGCTGAGGAATCCACTTCAAAGACATTTATCTCAAATAAACACATTGCCAGCTACAGGACTAGAGAAAGAGCCAGGCTGCCATACCCATGAAGTTCCCATTTTTTAGAAGGCTCTCGTTGACCTAGATAAATTGACCCTTTGACCATTTGCTTTTCCCTTACTGCACTTTAATTCTGGTCTTATATTTTTTTTAAATTCACCAGTAAAGAGTGAACCGGTGAAACCCTAGGCACTCCACCCTTGACCCCAGAAAAAAAAGCAGAACTCAAAGTCTGCACCCTCTCTCTCTCCACCCATGACCTCACTGTGTGATCCTGGGCATACCATGTACCTTACAGGATCTGTGAGTAATAAGCCTTGTTTTTCAAAGTTCCCTGATGGTTGTTACTGAGGTATGTCTTGCAATCAAAATAAGAACCACAAGGGCCAGTCCAGGCACAACGTTAGCTCTGAAAGGGGAAATATCTGTGGGGGCTCCCCTCAGGCCCAGATGAGTGCCCCAAGGCATTTCTAAATGATAGCATCACTATCAATAGGCTGAAACTGGCACAAAACACATCTTGACACATGTAGAAAAGCATTCAATAAAATTCAACACCACTCATAATTTAAAATTTTTAGAATATTAGAAACAGGTGGAAACTTCATAAAAGCAATCAACCAAAGACCTGCAGCAAACATCTTACTTAATGTTGAAATCTCAGAAACATTTCCTTTGTGGTTGGAAACAAAAAAAGTTTCCGTTAAAACCATTTATGTTCAACACTGCACTGGGTTCCTATCCAACAAAACAAATATATATTTAAAAAACTATAAACATTGAAAAGGAAGAAACAAACATTTGCTATGCTTTTACACATAGAATATTCTAGATAATCTAAGGACAGCTCTTAAAAACAAAACATTCAGTGATGTAATTGAATACAAAAAAATTAAAAAATCAATATTTAACACACTAACAATCAATTATGAAACTGATTTTAAGAAAATGAATTCACTGGAGCAATAAAATCTATAAGGTACTTAGAATTAAGATAACAAAAGATAGTACAACTTTTGTGAAAAAAGTTATAAAGCTATATAGAAAAACATAAAAGAAACCCAAAGTAAATATATCAAGTTTATAGATAGAACACTCATATCTTGATGTAGATTTTCTGTAAATTAATCCATGTGTCCAAGTTTCAAACAAAATCCCAACAGGAATTTACATAGAGCTTGATAAGCTGATATTAAACTTCATATAGTAGAATAAATGGCCAGAAAAAGCCAAGATGGGACAGGGAGGAGGGCCTACCAGATATCAAGATATTTTGTAAAGTTATTATAACTAAAAAAGTGTGCTATTGGTACAATAATAGATAAATACATCAGTGCAACAGAGGAAAAAGCCCAGAAAAAGACCCACCCAAATATGGGAACTTGACATATGAGTGAGATGTCTTTATAAATCAGTGGAAACTGAATTGAATATTCAATAAATGAATTATTTACATGGAAAAATTAAAGTATATCCTTATCTCAAGCCAACAAAAAATAAATTACATATAGATTAAAATCTAATTGTGAAATGGAAAGCCTTAAAACTAATAGAAAAAAATAGGATTATATTTTCACTCAGGAAAGTAAAGATCTACTGAATAAGAAACAAAATGCAGGCATCAAATGAAAGACTGATAAATTTGAATATTAAAATTAAAATCTTCTATGTGACAAAAGGCTATCGATGGAAAAACTAATCTACAAGAAGTCAAGTGATTTATTCAAGGTTAATGCCAATAAGTAGTAGAGCCACAATTCAAACATATAGCCTTCTGACTGTAATCCTAATTATTTTGCATGCCTAATTTTTAATTATGCAATTAACACACATTATATTCTTTCATAAAAATTTGAATAACACAAATAAAATAAGAATAGCTTTGACCATTTTCCCCAATTCCAATCTCCAGTATCCTCCCCAGACTTGTACATATCCTTTTCAGGCTTTTTTTCTTGGGTATTTGAATATATAAGTAAAAACATAAATACATTATTCAAGTGGTTTTATACTGCACTTAATGTTCTGCAACTTTTCTTTCAAAAACATGGCTTAAAGAACTTTCCATATCATCACAGCATTCCACAGTATGAATTTATTAGCATTCATTTATTCAATTTTCTATTAATAGACCTTTATGGTGTTTTCAATATTTTGCCCCTTGGTCATATAAATAGGATAGATATCTGAAATGGATTTTCCAGGTCATAATGAATACATGTTTTAAATGTTGATAATGCCAAATTGCCCATACTGGTATATAAACCTACTATTGCTGTATCTAGATGCCCATTTCTCAATGCCTTTTACATTACCTAATATTATTAATATTTTAAATTTTTAATATTTTGTCAATCTGATGGATAAAAAATGGTATATTGCATTTCCCTAGTCATTATTCATAAAGCTGTTTCCGCCTCACTGCCAAACTTTGCTCTCTTGAGTTAAGAGGCAACCACACCTTCAATTCTTATAATCGTTTTTTCTAGTAAACTTATTTTCATATTTCTAAATATATTTATATTGCCATTTCTTGATTTATTAGACATTAACAATTGATTTCCCATTATGAAAGATGAGGATTTAGTACAAGTGCTTTATATATTTGGCTTGTTCAGTATTTCCCTACTATATATGTAGCAAATATTGTCTCCTACTTTGTTGCCTATATATTATCATGATTGTCTTGTTATGGTATATTCCTTGAAGCTTTTAGGTTTTATGTCTTGTCTAAGGATGTCTCTACTTCACAGTTACAATTCATTTCCTATAGTTTCTTCTAAAACTTTCTGAATTGTGATTTTAATGTTTATGTATTTTCTCCATCTGGAATTTATGTCTATGAGTGGTATGAGGTAAAGGTTTTCTATTTTTTTCAAAATGAACAGCCAATTGTCCAATATCATTTATTCAATAGTTTAACATGTCCTGAAATATCTTCTTTAAAATATACAATATTCCCTCAATTGCCTGAGCAATTTCTGGAATATCTATTTAGATCTACTGGTCTTCTTGTACCCCTATACCAAAATCATAACGTACTTTTTTTAAAAATGTCTTGGTTATTCTTAAACATTTTCTTTTTCTTATGAATTTTAGAATCAGCTTGCGAATTCTCTAAAAATAAGTAAATTCTGATGACACTTGATTACACTGCATTTCTGGATCAATTTGAAGAAATCCAATGTTCTTTCTATCACCATCAGGCAGGGTTGCCTTTCAGGTTAAATATTTATTAGACTAATTCAGTTTCTATCATTTAAAAATAAACAAAGAACCAAACCTGTATGGAATTATTTATTCAAGTATTTTCTACAGTACTTAGCAAAATTATATATTTGAAGAGACAATGTTTATAATGAAAGTGATGCTTTAGATCTTTTCATGTTATCAACTTTGTTTCCTCATCATCATAGAAAAATTATAAATAATTAAGATGAATAAGGACTATTTCTGTAATCTGAAAATATTTTCTATATTGTTACCTAATTATAAAATCAAGATTGGCTAATTTATGATTATTTAATATTGGTCATTTATCATTACCAAAACTGAATGGCAGAGACCAATGATTAATGACTGATAAATATATTAAGTTCAAGCACAGAATATTTGAAAATTAAGTTAATGACTTCCTCAAGATTCTAGAATTAAATATCTTTAACTCTAGGTGAAACTAAAGACTTCATTTGGGACCATTATTAGTGTGAATAATTCATTCATTCATTTATTCATTTATTCATTTGACATATTTTAATTTTAGATTACGCTGAATGCTGTGAACTGTGATAGATGTTAGCAATAAATAGTAAGAAACAACTTTATTCAAGAATGAGGAAAAGAAATGCAAGAATAATGGTATTGTAATACTCACTTTCCCTTCATCTCTTGGGCTATCACTTAAATGTACAACTGGACCTGGATGAGTCTTTGTGGATCTGTTAAATCAATTCAAAACAGTAAATTAAAAAGTAAACATTAAAACACTTTATCATTAGAGACTGAAACAAAGAAACTAAGATTATACTGGAGTACACTCCCAATATTCTGGGGTTTAGCTTAGATTAATTTGAGTTTTGGGTTGTTTTTCTTTAAGACTACTTTTCTTTCTCCTACTAATTCTATTAAAGTAGGTATGATTTTTTAAAGATCAGGTTTAAGAATATAGATCCACATAACAACGGGATTCTTCATTATCTTATATGTTTGTTGCCAGATCTGGTCCTCTGAAAATGTGAAACTGAACTTTTACATACACAGACAAAAGAAAACTTATATGGCCACAAGGCTGATGCTATAATCCTGTTTCAAACAAATTGCAAAGTACATACCTGATTTGAAATTTCCTTTGAATAAAATCTCTGATTTTGCTCCTAAAGAAAAGTACAGTGGTTCCTTTAATTCACAAAGACACTGTCTCTCTTGCAATAGCCAGCTTACAGAAAACTGAGAAACTGGGGAAACCTAGTTCACTGGTTATGTCTCATTTATCTGGTTATCTAGGGTAATCAATAACAGTTAATTATGAGTCTAAGAGCAAATTGTTAAACAGACCTGTGCTCTGTCAATCTGACTAAATCTATTCTACTCTGATATCTGGCATTTTCTAAAATATTTCCTACTTTAACTTATATCATTGCTGAATATGATTATGCCATGATTAAACATGATATGACCTATGACCATAGATGTATTTTATTCCTTGTCCTTTCTTCCATGACCTAATTGTGTCAAATTAATTTTATTATATTGACATAGTTATAATTTATTTCTTAAGCACACATGAAAACCATTGAAGATTCTGCAGAAAACAATAAAGATTTAAATTTTAGAAACTCTTTGGAATCAGAGAAAAGTGACAAATTAAGTAACTGCAGGTTCCCCAGATACTGACTCCCCAGAGTAACTCAAAGGAATAAATAAAGATTAATTAGATATTCTGTAAGTGCTTTTATCCTAAATTTTCTCATCTAAAAATAGAGATAGTAGAACTGACCCTATGGAATAATTTGAGGATTAGAAGATATGTATAGCACTTAATATAAAGCCAAAACATAGCAAGTACTCAATAAATAATATGTATTATAATTGGGGATATGAAGGGAATCACTGTAAATCATTGGAATAATTGGAAATCAGAGTTACTATTTGCATTCCAGAATATATGCAAGAAGAAAAGAAACTAAACAGGTCTTTATAAAAAGTTTACAGAGCTTTTTGGAATTCTTCCATGTTTATATGTAATGTATCATTTACACATAAATGAAGTGCTTTATTGCAGTATAAATGCCTTCAATAAGGGACAATGTCCTTCAATTATCCTCTGGAAACTAATAATATCCAACAAACCACAAAATCCCATGTGTCTCTTGGGTTTTATTGGAACAACAAATACCAAACTGTACTCTGTGATAAACTAGTGAATATAAAAGGTATTTCACGTAAAGAGTGTTACATATCAAAAAAGTTTGGGAGACCCTGAATTAAACAAAGTTAAATATATTTTTCTTCTATACAACTTCTTACAGCCATATTATGCAAATAAGCATTGCAAACTTGAATATTTTCCAAAATTATTGGTCCATAGAATCCTTTATCATTGACCATATTAAGGGAATCATTGAAACATACCATGAAAAACACCAGACTATATGCAAGACTCTTCCATTAGAAGAGTCTAATTCTTCCATTTAGAGTATCAGACTCTAAAAAACACTCAGAAAATAATCTAGCATTAAACTTCAGTTATTTGTAATGACTTTTTAAGAATATAGAAGAAATATTATTGATTGTAAAAAACAAAACAAAACGTAGAAGATACCAAAACTTAAGAGGAAAAAACCTCTCTCATATTATTTCTCTGCCTAGATATAATGACTATTAACATTTTGATGTATTTTTTCTGACTTTTTCCCTAACATTAGACTTCCAAAAACTACAAATCATTCCTTGCAAAACATATGGCCATTAGAAATTGAGTTAAAAAATAAAAAAGCATCTATGTACTCTGGATTCTGTAAATCCCACAAAAATCACTTTAGATAGAATTATCAATGAGCTTAAATTCATGTAATATCCCTTTAACTGATGCCCGGTAATTCTTCTGAGTAGCTCTATTTATTTCTCTTCCTCTCATTCACCACAATGGCTTCTTTATAGTTTCCTTTGTGGACTTTCTCCTCTTGTATTTTAAATATTGGTATTCCTTTGTATTCTGTCCTTAAACTGACAACTATTCTCATATTATATGTGGTCATGAATTCAAGAGCCCACAGGAGCCAGGCAGGTATCGCAAAGGAGTTACATAGGCTGAATAAGAACTGAGCCAAAATGGATAGCACAATATCCACCTACAAAAGGAAAGTTGTTACTCAGTTCTAGTTGATTACTGACTGCCATTCAAGAATACTGGACTAGGATTGTCTCATCATGGATTTTTTTCATGAGAAGCTAGAAATCCACATTTTTATTTTTACTCTACCAATTTTTAAATATTAGAATCTAATAATTCAGAACATATTTAAATGATGGCCAAACAAAACATATCTATGAGTCAGAATGGGTTCACTGTCTACTAGTTTGCTACCTCTTTTCTATATACTTTTCACGCAGAACCTCATCTATTCTCATGGTTTCAATGACCATGTAAATTCTGATCTCACTACCTTCAGATCCATATATCCCACTTCCTACCATTCTCCCATACCTATTCTATTTGCATGTCTTATAAACATATATAACTCAACCTACCTAAAATTGAACTCATTATTTTACTCCCAACCTGCTCAATCTCCTGCATTCTTTCACTAAATGATACTTCTATCTACACAGTTGCACAGGGCAAACACCTTGGGATCACTCTTAATTCTTCTCTGTTATTCTTAAGTCTTCCTACAATACCCAAGTCTTGCCTCTCTTATCTTCTATTTCTTTAATATGTCAACTTATGTCCACTCCTAAATCCACCATTATAATTTTTACCAAGAATATATTCTTTTCTCTCTTCAATCATTTCTCCATACCTGCATTCAGAGTAGTCTTCCTAAATGAAAATTTGATCAAGTCAATTCTCTGCTTACAACTCTTTAAAATCTAGCTCCTGGCCTTAGATAAAGTTCAAACTTCTCAAATTAGCTTACAAGGTCTTTCATATTATATACCCTGATTACTCCTCAGCTTTATCTCTTGACACCCTCTCCTCTAGCCATTCCAATCAATTAAACTACTTAAAATTTTGTGCATGAAACAAAAATTCTCTCATTTCCCATCCTTTAAATCTTCTTTTCCCTCTTCCTGGAACACTCTCACCCCTCTCTCTCAATTCTTCAGTCATCTAACTGAAACTCATCCTTCATATCTCACTTTAGATGTAACTTCCTTCACAGACACTTCTCTGAGACCCCATGTCTATAGTAGATAGCCTCTTTATGAGATTGCCACATTATGTTTCCAACATATTGTAATTGCCTTTTTACTTAATCTCACCATTATAGACTGGAAGCCCCAAGAGGACAGAAACTATGTCTTACCAGTTTATAGCTGCTTCCAGTAACTAGCATACCATAGTACTCATTAAACATGTTTGAATGATTGTTAGCTAAATACAAGCCTTGTATTTATGATTTAATTCTGAATTTCATGCTCTAGTTTTAATCATATGTAGGAAAAATAGGTTGCATTTTTTTAAAAACTAGAGCTGCCCTCCAGAAACAGATATTTCTGTGCTATAATGTGGAATACATTTTCTCATAAAAATATTTTTGTAATCTCAGTTTAGTTCTATACTACTATTTTATGAGGTATTCTACAAACATCACTGTTTTCATGGAAAATGTGTTCCAGTTTCCAAATAATCAATATCCACATTTTGGGAACACAAACTATCTATAATTTGGGAGATTGCCTAAAATTACAATTAGAAATTCATTAAAAACAGAAACAAGCTGAAAAATAACAAACATTGAATGAAAAGTATTTCAAGTAAGGACTTAAAACAGGAATAATCTCACATATCTCCTAAAGACAATTCAGTATTTGTCATACTTAGAAAACCAATTGTTAACATTTGTACCTAAAATTCTATTTATGAAATGACTCTTTTAATTAATACATATTTTATTATTGTCCCATACATTTGACACATAATAACAGGAAGTGGTATGCATTTTCTAATGTATATCAAGAGGTAAAAAGCAATTAAAAGACAGTTCTGGGAGACTGGAAGTTGACATTACAAATTCTATCTATCACAATGGAACTATAATTCAATGGAAAATACTTTTGGAAATCTGGTCTAAATAAACCAAGAAACAGTCAGGAGGTGATGTCGACTACTAATAATTTCTCGAGGATATTTCAAGGACATTTTCAGAGGCATGTACAACTCTATAAACACTGAATTTATATAAACAGTAGATTCTATTCTGATGCATGTATAAGATCATACTATGAAAAATAAAAGTGCCTTATTTACTTCTTTAATTTCTCCTAATTTTACTCTCCTTTATAATGTTTTGAAACTCTTAATTAGTCCTGATATCATAAAGTATACACTATATGAATACATATAGGTAAAGCATAAGTCATTAGTTCAGGTAGTATTAATTTGTACTATGACAAGGATTTGTTAATAAAGGAATATGTAAACAACATTGCAAGAGTGGCAAAATATTTGATTTGTTTAGATAAATTCTTTTTAATTACTTTAGTAGCTCATTTGTGTTAACTGAACACAAATGATGTATCTATTACTATTTGTACTAATATTAAATTTTTAAAAGGTTCTATAAACACATTAATCAGTAGAATTGTTTGTGTATATATTACAAACAGATGGCTTGGAATTTCATGAAGTTTCACATTTAAGTACTTCACATTTTACATGTGCAGAAACTTAAATATCAGTGCCAAAGTCAAAGTGATAATTGCCATCAACCACATACCCAAATAGCTGTATACATCACAACATGAAATATACTGATAAACTGATTCTCTTTTGAACCACAACAATATGTTAATGAGGCAAGTGAAGAATAACCTGCCAGCATTAAAAAATATGTGAACTGATCATGACTTTTACGTAAAACTAAATGTAGTCATAATCCACTTGTCATTCCTGTTGGAAGTGGCTATACGAAGGTTGACTACAAAGAAATGAGATGATTTCATGTATAACTTTCAGAATGAGCCTTACTATTTTATCATCAAATTTTGCATATATAACCCTTAACTATTTACAGTATTTAGAAAGTCTAAAATTAGCATTTGTTAATACTACAATATCTATTTTTAAAAGCCTTTATAGTTTTAAATTATTTTAGCTAAACTTTTAACTCAAATTAATCATAAATTTGCTATAGATGTTTCAAATAACTGCAATTTGATATATATGTTACATAACCCTATGAAATATTTAAGCCAAATAAAGTGATATTCAAGTTTAAACTTACAGTTCAATTGCCTTGTTCCACATGATAACATATCCAGAAAGAATGAAAGATTCAACATTTACAATATGTGTATTTCCTCTTTCTGTTCCAACATAGAGCCATTTACTCTGGAAAGGTAGATGACAGTAAGTAATTCTGAAAGAAAGAAAATTACAATTAAAATATCTAAATTTTATGTCTGGTCAGCATAATATTTTCCTCACACTTATTATGTAATGATAGCTATATAAACAATAAAATTTACTATATACTCAAGTAGCATTTAGTTATAGTAGAGGGTATAGGATAAATAACAATAGAATATATTACTAAAAATAATGACAATAAGAACCACTATTAAATAAGTATCTGACATGGGCATTAATATATATTATTTCTAATTCTGAAAACAGCACTACAAGACAGATATATATTTCTGTTTTACAAAGAGGAAACTGAGGCCAAGAATTTTTATTTTTACTTGCCTAGGACCAACAGCTAATAAGTGGCAAAGCTGGGATTCAAATCCATTCCTGTTTGGTTGCAAATGTACCATCTTTCTACCAAGTTACATTGTCTACTTAGTTTTTCGGGTAATATTCAGTTCAAATGGAAATTAGGTACAATTGAAACATAAATTTCAGAGTCCTCAGAGAGTTTGTAGCTATGTCTACATGAGATGATAAAGTATTTACTTTTTATTCAGATGCTTGGCATCTAAGTAGTAGTATAAAGAAAGCTTGTAAGGTCAGAGATTCACTGTGCTCTTCTCTTATTTTTTTTCTTCTGCCTTTATCTTAACAATGGGCTTTCTGATCAGCTCTGGGAACCTGTCCCATAGTCAGAGCAACCATGACTCCCGTATATGAAATCTGAGAACTTGCCAGAGTCTTCTACTCATAACATCATCACTTTCTAGTACGGCCTACTCATGGTCCTTAATCACTCTTAAAAAGACAAAGGAGATAAGTTCATAGTTATCCCTTGCCAGAACTTGTTAGTGAATCATAATATTTCCTAGAGTTTACTCAGAAAAGGAGCTGGTAAATTGTTAGAAGAGCTGGATAGAATTCTGACGCCAGGCAGACAAATACGGAATAATAATTTAAAAAAAAGGAATGTGAATGGTAAATTGCCAGTAAGATTCCATCTTATACCTCTTTATGTGAGAGTAAGCATCCAGTCTGTCAAATTTATATTCTCAGTGTGGTTCACCAAATTATTCAACAGCCTACTTCTCTAAACCAAACTTCATCTATCCAAAAGTATTCTGCTGAAAGCACCTTGTACACTACATCCAAAAAACTAGACGCCCTGCTATTACATACTCAGAGAGTTAACTGACAATCTAATTAAAGTGTAACCTATATGATATTAGACAATTCTGATTAAAACCAAAAGTTTAGAATTGCTGTTGCCAAGGGATATTTAATAATGTTCCACAGGAAACAACTTGATGCTCATGTTTCTAGGCAATGAAGGATAAATTTTCAATTCAATCTAAGTAGAAAGAGGACATTCATTTGAAAGAGGATATAAGATCACCCTTTCTGAATCATAGGGAGAGTAGAAAAAAACACTAATCTCATACAAGTAGACACAAATATAGCAGTTTGGATAGAAAAAGAGCAAACTTCAATATTACATAGTCATTTACAAGGTTAAGAAGAAAAGTCTAAGAATGGTTAGGTTTCAGTAACAAGAACAAAAGCAAGAGGCAGAATTCTAATATAGACAGATTTTATGGTACAAGAACAATGGAATACATGAAGAAGATCCAAACAGAATTAGAACTATTCCTTGAACCAATACTACTTTTCTCCTCATTCTTTTTGACAAGAAACTAAACCCTTGATGGCAAAAGAGTTTCATCTTATGCCCAATGTCCAACTGGTGGATAGTGGTTAAACAAGTAATTAAGAAAGATTCCCAGACTTTATCTGAACCCAATAAAAAAGAATAATGTAAATCCTTAAGAAGTCTGACATAGGTGAGAGAGAGGGCATGATTACACTTGTGCTGTATATTCGATAACCCTAAGTGACTAATCAATACTTTTACAGAACTTAATTTACTGTATTTAATAGTTACACTTTCATTTGCAATGTACTTTTACCACCACCACCTGCAAGATGAAGGATTTTCTGTTATATGTGAGCCTTGGAAAAATAATCTTGTTCCTATATCCATGTTCACTATCATTTTCCTATAGTAAATTATCTAAGACATTCTTAGTCTTCCATACATTCATCCATTTATTCAACCTTCACTGAATAAGTCTTTATAAAAAGTACTGTCCTTGCTTACAACACAACCACTCTTTTTCCCTCAAAAAACATATCCTCTAATAGGAGAGATAAGACAAGTGGACAAGTAAGAAAAATAAAAGTAAAATGTTTTAATTGCTATAAAGAGGTCAAAGGAGGGAGGGATAAATTCCAGTAAAGGAAATCAAGGAAAGCTAATGTAGAAAATTGTATTTGAATTGGGCCATTAAAGATCAAATAACTCTGTGATTTGATATATACGTTACATAATGATATGAAACAAAATAAACGTTTCTCAAGCTTGAACAATCCACAGGCCTTTAAAATTTTTTGGCTGATCCTCACTTTTGACTTTTATAATTTTTTTAACTTACACATAAAAATGAAATAAGACATAAATCCCCCATACTTACAGCTCTTATATATGCATAAAACAAAACATACAAATTGAGTACAAATAAAACTAAAACTAGAATTCAAATTAATGATATTAATTTATGTGACAGATCAATTTTTTTACAGAAATAAAACAACCCCACAATATGGATATGGTTCTGACTGCACAGGTTCTTTTGAATTTGGTGTGTCAATACTTACTCAGTGCTTCTCTTTCACCACTTGCCTCTACTTGAACAGCTTTGAACTCTATCGTATAGTACACCACCACGTAATTTTACAATCATTTGGCATGAATACATGATACATGTGCATAGTCCAATTTTTGTTATTTTATTAATCCACAACAATTAAAACAACACCAGTTGGTGCCAACACAACCACAAATGCAAATTTAACTTCACATATTGGAGCCGTGTGGCAGTATTTTTGCATAAAAGGGTTTATTCAAATCACTCAGATTGTTTCTATTTGTCTGCTTATAAAAGTAAAAATATTACATCAAAAATTACTGTGAAAAATTCAGAACCCGAGGACTATGCCCATAGACCTTATTTTGAGAAGCACTGTCAATACATAAGCCAAAAATATATTTTAAAAAAAGGAAATGGTTTAAAATTACAGAAATTATGCCATATGAAATTAAGTGGGAGATTTCAACTTTGAAACTTTTTCCCCTCAAGTTCTAACATAGTTCCATTTTAGTCCTATTTTTTTCTCTGGATTTTGGGTGAAACCTCTACTACCAGACATGATGACAATGTCTCCAGTCCCCTCCATAATATTTATAACTATGCTTTACAACCTGGTTACACTCAGAATCATGTGTATAATGATTCTGCATATTAAAAATGCCAGAGATTACAATTCAGGACTTCTGAGGCAATATCTAGCAACACTGTTTTAAAACTCTTCCTAGGTGGTTTTGATGCACAACCACAGTTAAGAATCACTAAATTATAGCAACAATTTTTAATCTTTGGTATAAATAAATATCTCATTAAAATGCATATTCCAAGATCCCAGCCACACAAATTCTACTTCATGGACCTGGAATGAGACATATGACTGATATTTTAACAAGTATCCAGTACTTGCTATTCTAAATGAAGTCCACAGACCAGCAGCATGGACATCACCTAGAAGCTTAGTAGAAATTCAGAATCTCATGTCCTACGCCAGAATCAGAAACTACATTTTATGAAGATCCTCCAGGTGAGTCATATACACATTAAAGTTTAGGAAGCACTTCTCTAGGCGATTCTGATACAGATAACCTATGAACTACTTTCTAAGAAAGACTGTCCTGTGGCTGAATGACTGCTGCTTACTTACTCTTCAAGTTTTAGAATAAGAATCTCAATTACTAAGTTAGTAGTAGGGATAAAGCCTTAGTAGGCAGAAAGCCTTGTTGCTATGTAGTCTCCCCAAAAGATCTAATGATGATTATAACAATGATGATGATAGGAACCAAACAACAGCCAGGGAAAGGGACAGATAGCTACCCTAAGATTCCCTCAGCATCTTAAGTCAAAGACTGACATTTAGGAATTTTAGTGGAAAAGTTCAAATCACATAAAAGAGAAAATTAAGAATTAAAATTTCTTTAAGAAAAAAATCTGATAATTTTGGACACCCTGTACCCAACTAGAATTATAATACAAGAGACTAAATTAAACAGATAAGTGAAAATTTCACTGAATTTCATTCACGGTCTTAATGGGCTATTAATCAACTAACCAGACAGTAAAAATTGATTTTGTTGTCTGTAATAGTTCCAAAACTATCAAACCTAAGTCAAATTTTAAAAATAAGTCAAATCTCTGAACTTCCATAGGGAATAATATCATGAATTCTGGCAAATGCAACTCTGAGCTTATTCTCATTCTCCTATAGCAAATGAAACAATATTTTCTACATTCCTCTAAATTCATAGACTATTTCAATTTCTGAATGAGAGAACTGAGTCACTGGAGGACATGTAGGGAGCAGGAAAGAGGCACTGATCTGTTGGTCGGGGTGATACAAGTAGAAGTATACTGGAGAGACACAATCCCATCCCAACCAGGAGAAACTAAGTGCCTCTCCCTATCTCAGGGGTTAGTGAAGGACAGTTAAGGAACTTGAACTCCTATTCACATCTATTAGGAACAAGAGGAGATTTGCCCTTTCCCTGCCAGAGCAATGTCAAAACAACTCACCCAAAACAGAAGGTTCAAATAAGACCTAGGGTGTCAGAACATAATATCCAAAATGTCCTGTTTTAATAAAAAATCACTCATCATGCCAAGAAATAGGAAAATATCTATTTGAATGAAAAAAGGCAATAGAAACCAACACCAAGATGATACAGATGTTAGAATTCACTTATAAATATTTTTTTTTTGAGGAAGATTAGCCCTGCTGCCAATCCTCCTTTTTCTGAGGGAGGCTGGCCCTGAGCTAACATCCGTGGCCATCTTCCTCTACTTTATATGTGGGACACCTACCACA